GGACCAAAGTTGATATTTTCACAAATTATGCATATTCATTACATGGATTAGTGTCATGGCTTCGTGATAAACAATGTGAGGTGCAGGAAAGTTAATTTTGTATATTGATAGTAATATCGCAACTATTTCCATATGACATTTTTAGGTTTTTGGCCTAATAAAAAATATCAAAATCTTGGGAATAGTTTAAGCCCGTTTGGACCTACTCCTTTGAGGCGCCACCTTTCTGGAACTACCTTCATCAGAACACCCCGAACCCTCAAAATGAATTCCAAAGATGTATACAAATATTAAATGTCCGAGGACACAGTTATCGGCCTTCAAAGATAGTCCGTAGTATGGACAGTGTAAAACTTGCAACTTTTTTTACATACACTTTCTAAAATTACTTCTTTATATTTTATGCATTAAGAATAGTATTAAGAAGAGGATAAAAAAACATGTAAAAAATTGGGTGGTGAATTTCTAAGTATAAAAAATCTTTTTGAGATAGAGCAGGTACGATTTGTTTAATTAGTGCTTTGTCTATATGCCTTTTTGTTTTTTTTTCTTGACATATTTGTTTGTTTTTATAGTGATTAAGATTATAACACAATGTTGACTGCTGTACCCATATTTTTGACAAGCGAGAGGTTTAGCTAGCTATAAAAGCGGGTTTAACAAAACATTTTCCACATAAGAAAATGCCTGTATAAATTCAGGAATATGACAGTTGTTATCCATTCGTTTGGTGTGTTTGAGCTTTTGATTTTGCCATTTGATAAGGGTCTTTCCGTATTGAATTTTTCTCGGAGTTCGGTATTCTTGTTGTTTTATTTTTGAATGTATTGTCTTAATAAAATGCACTACGAAATAACTGGGTTCTCTGGCCTAATAACTTATAATCTCTATCACAAAAAAGAACATAAATAGCATATAAATTCATCTTAGGTCAACCTTGCTAGAGGGTATTGAAAACGCATGGTTTTAATCATTGTCAAATTTATCAACATTTATAATCTTAGTTGATTGAAGCGGAATTGAATGTTGTTTTTTTTCTTTTCCTGAAGTTACGTCATTGTTTGGTGACGAACCATTCTAGAGTCAAAAACATGCTAAGGTCATTAGGTGGATAAGATCCTGCTCAACTATTGGCACCAATCGATTTTTCTCATGGTCAGTACGAACAAGAGATTAGTGTCATTCTGTGATGTCACAATCGAGGCAAGGGGGACGGTAACGACAATTGTAGCATATATGTTGGGTTTCTGTGTTGTACAGATATTCCTTATCGGTCAACCAATTCGTGATGGTGTCTGTAAAATATTCAAAGTGTATATGTCTGTTAGATTGTTTGTATGTGTTTTGAGCACCTTTATATTTACGGTGTAACTTACTTTTTTATCATTTTACCAACTCATTGATTTGCACGTACCTTAACCGGACTCGCAGGTTTGCAGAATTGGACAAGAATCTCCTACCTGAATAAATAGAGAAAAAAGGAAAAGTAACTTTAGATATCAAATATCGCATAACTTTCCTAACCTTAGTTAGAAGACGTAATTATTGTTCATGTTGGCTTCACCTTGATCACAGTTTGAAATAGTGCTGAAATGTTTTTAATATAATTTGTGCAGCATTTCTTATCTGCAACAACAAAATTTTAATATTTCATATACAAAAGTAAATTAAAAGCTGATATTTTGTTATAGTAACTTTCTAAAAAAAAAAACAATATTGAGTCATTACTAGTACAATATTAAATTTAGTATAGTTTGGGTATGAATATTAAGTGTCAAAACTGTATAGCCAAACTATTTACAGATGTATGATTTGCATGTGTCAATATGAATTATTTCGGTTGATTGGAGACTGTTAAATATTTAATGATATTTTTGAGTGATTCGCAAATAATTAGTATTTTAAATGATTCATGCTTAAACGTAACATATTTAAACAGTCTCTATTTTTTTAAATTTTTTAAAAAAATCTAATATCGAATTTCACAATTTGTTAAATTTAAAAACAAGCTTTTTTTCTTTGATGTTTACACCGATTTAACATGTTAAACTTGTCTCTGACCTGTTGAGTATTCCTATCTTCCTAAATACAGTTTGTTGGTTTTGTATTATTTAAACATGTTAAAGGATGCAATTTATCTGCAATTTTACAGTTGATAAATTAAGTATCGAGTCAAAGGCAATTTTGCTTTAAACAACTGTTACTGTCAGTTCTACTTTATATCTAAAACGTTTAACATGTATCGCGATGCAAATTTGTGGTATCGAATGTACCTGATATTTACAATTTAAAAAAAAACTAGAAGTTGCTAGCACGTAATTCATATTATAAATGTCTTTTATAAACATTTTATACACGGTTCGCTTATTCTCATTTCAGCAATATTGGTCAAATGAAGATTTTGTTGAAGATTTGTTTAGTCGTTAAACATGGTAAAAATAGATATGTGAATATCAGTGATTGCTTCTTGTTAAAGGTGTCACGATAATAATATTACCTTCGTCTCATATGTGTCTGTGATTCTGATATGATCACTGTGTTTTGACGGACAAGGCATTATTTAAAAGTTTAAGTGTTCAAAATATTAATATAAAATTATTATTATGACATTTCAATCCCACATATAGCGATACATGTTCAAAGTTGCCGATTTGAATGACGTCTGTTGATTTTGAATTAACCATAGTATACGGTATATTCTACATTCTTAGTTGAAAACCGTTCACCAACTAACGTAATGAATATTGACAATTTCGTCTCTGTTCTGTTTCAAAATTTTTCTTACTATCTGATATTAAATGTATATTTTTAACTACATTCGAAACATCGTTTACAATTTTAGTTTGTAACCCGGATTTGTTTTTATCTCTATCGATTTATGAGTTTCGAACAGTGGTATACTACTGTTGCCTTTATTTACAAGATAGGAATCCCGTCTAATTATGATGACTAAAGAGGATTAAAAGGTTTTTCCCGAATCAGTGCAAAACTGAAACATAAGGGGAAATACAGCATCTATCTGGGTTTGATCTATTGTAATGATCGAAGTAGTCCAACTACCGTATCATTAGCCTGACAACACTGAGGTTTTGAGTTCGAATCCCTCACGTGGTAGGTACATTCGGCTCGTATCTTTATTGAGCAGGATAGTACATGTAGTTTTACCATAGTTTGTGTTCAAATTCACCTGTCATCCTTTTGAAAAGACTAACCCTGTTTATGAATGAAATCTCTACGGAGCAATTTGACTAAGCTGTTTAGAACAACAAATTACACCTATGATGGCGATTGTTTAGTTTTATTCAACTAAAGAATATCACCAATACGTGAAACTATTGATTTATGCTATCAAAAATTCGCTGAAGACACGTCTGGATAAGATGATGATAATATATTTCAGTTTAAATTTCCATCTGCGTCATGTGCAATATTATATAAAGAATAAACAATATCACTCAAGACGTTTTATTTGAACACGACATGCATGTCGCGATGTGACGTTTTGGTTCATCGTTGGTGTCATGCCAGCAACTATAAATTAAAAAAACGTGAATTTTGATATTGGTTATATCTCTAATAAATCCACCCTATATCCTTTTCTATAATACCCAGCTAACAATTAGACTCAGCTATATTTGAGTACATACCAAGTATTACATGTAAACGGCCGGAAAAAGATAACGCTTTTTTTTTCACGTGAACTTTGTATAATCGCCACGTTTACTCTATATTACTAGTATACAGCGGTATCCTACTGATGCCTTTATTTATTCCATGTTAACCTCAATATTTTAGTCCAAACAAAAAAGTGAACTCGCGTTTATGTTCAAGTTTACTTCCCTGTTCACGTCATAACGTCATAACGCCGCTTTTTTAAAATTTTGTTCCTCTCCACCCATTTACAGTTATTACACCGGCGTGGTATGCATTGTTTTTCTTTAAACCAATGGTAGAATATTTTAGTCACGTAAACTTTAATTTGTGGTGTCAGTAAAAGGTTTGTTTAAGACTTGTTTATGTTATACACAAGCATTAATTCGAAAACATTTTTAAAAGAGAATTTCTTTCAACATATATTTGTTCCGCTTTTAGTCCCCAAGAACCTTAGTTATAACAATATCATTAACATAAGCAGTAACACACAGCAATATGATGGTACTTGCAATAAAAAAGTACGGGTTTAAGGTATACAGTTATACTTTACAAAACTCATGACTGCAATTTTGTCATCCAGTTCAACCAAACGATTATTGTGTAGAAAAAATGCTACTGCTGAGTATTGTGTCATGAATGCTATTTCTTTACAGTCAGCCAATATTCAGTTAAGGAGAATGGTGGCTTTGGTGTTATATAGTTTTGACGAACGCCATTTGAGAATCAGAACGTAACATATAATTAGGAATGTGGTTTAACACAATCACTTGTTCTAGTCCATGTTTGTGAGTCTCAATTAAGACGATTTACCACAGGAATCTTATCTTGCATGAGCAAACGAAATGGTTCTACTTCGTTGAACTGCCCATAGTGCAGCTAGTTTTTTAAGTGTTTAAGATTGTATTGATCAATCAGTAGTTTTCTGTGCATGGTTGTCTATTCATCTGATAAGTAGTATTTGCCTCCAACAATGAGCAAAACCAATACCGCATTGTAAGCTATAAAAAACCAAGAAAAGACAAATTAGAGACTATATATTCAACCAAGTAAAATGACGGCCTGATAATTTACAAAACAATAAACGAAAAACTAATATAATATACAGCCACAAACGAGAACCGAGAATTACAGGCCCCTGACTTGGGACAGCCATTATCAGAATGAGGCAGGTAAAACATTTTACTAGCGCCAAAAAACATTTTAATCAGGAATTTGTTCGTAAATTGTAAAATTCAAAATCCATTTGTCGAAGCTTAAAAAAAGCAGAGATTTTTTCTGTTGCTTCGTAGCGGGTACAGATATATTAAAGATTTTCATACAATGTACAAATACTGTTTTACCCTGCAAATTGATATTTACGCTTGAATGAACATTGTTTTTACTTCAGACCCATTGTATTTGTTATTGAATGAAATCAACATGACTCAAACTCGGACTGCAAAAACATCTGTGACGTAACGTTGAGTGATATCTATACACCTAGGTTTGTAGAGTAGAAAGGTTATAGCCGGATAAAATTTATTTCATCTGCATGAAGCTACTAGGAATACAACCCAAATAGGATAAAAGCCTTATATATTTTCAATGTTTAAGTCATTAAATGATCTAGTAGTACAGTTTGAATTCTACATTGTTTGCAAAAGCTTCCTGTACGGCATCGGCTTCATTGCCTTTTTCAATCTTTTTTAGTGCTTTAACTAAATTAAAAACTAAGGTTTCATTAGGCCTTGAAGGTCGCCATATTTCAAACATCGCAGTTTTAAATTCCAATTTTGTCTCTATGCTCGATAGTTTTTTCTCTGAAATATTTAATTGTACTCCAAGTTTGTAGCATTCATCTTCACTGAGCTGTTTTCCGAGTCTAAATAATGATGATTTTCTAAGAACAGGAATTGTACCTAAAAGATAAAAAAAATGTTCAATGGATAAAAATCTACGCCAAGCTGACATGAACATTGAAAATCATACAACATTTGGATTCTTCTGCTTGCAGTATTTAACCTGCGATGGAAATATTTTACTTTAAACTGTGTATCAAAAAATACTTTTATAAAACTAAGCAAAACTTGTTTTTATTTGACATTAACTTTCAAAAGTGCATTTGAAAATCAAACATGTTCAACTATCACTTAAAACATTTATTACATCGTTTATTCAACAAACAAAAAAAAGAATTGTGAACACGTTTTTGTTCAAAATAGAATGAATAAAGTATTCCCTATAGGACAAATATCAATACAAGCTTTAAAACTGTTTATGTATCGGTATAAATCAGTCCAGCATACATTTTTAAGGTTTACTATACACAAAAGTTTTGCATAGTTTAATAACAGGTTTTTTCAAATGATAGCTTTTAAAGTAAGCGTCAGTCCCTTTCTTCAAAAGGTCTTAAAATAAAACTGAACAGATATTTGTTGAAGATGTTCTTCATATGGTTGCAGTTCTATTTCGTCATTCTATGAATTTATAAATAAGATTTGATACTTTTGTATCTTTTGTTTTACCGTTTGTACTTATACATTGTTCTATCTGCTAAAAATGGTTTGTCAAATATAAGATTCCTTCATATTGTATTGTTTTCTTCGGCGGAATTCCAGACATCAACTAAACTGGTATTCATTAACCATGACAATCTTTTAATGTCGATTATACCTTTGCGTTAACTTTTAGTCAACGAAAATATTCATTATTTTACCTGTAGGTCAAACTACTCTAACATATAACGTGTCACCTTTTAAACTGGGATTCTTTTCCGATAAAATACACTAAAGATAAACTTACACTGTGCATCATCTTTATCCACACCAACATCTTGATTGTCATCTAAAATATATCACATGCTCTAATTGTATAAATTATATAATACAATTTTTGTTTATCACCAATACGTTCATACTACTTTAAAAAGTTTAAATATATCTAACCATTGCTTATGTCATTTACAGTATGGACAAACTATCTTTTGCTTACATAATCACCAATACCAAATACCATTCCCTTATAAACTACCTTATTGAATATTTGTATATCGTTAGTTTGAAGTAAAGCCTGGTACAAAGTAACCACTTCATACTTATGAATTGAAAAAATCTGAGGATTATGATTACAGTTCTATCACTCTTTCTTTTTGAAGTAGCACAACTATTCAATTTATTGCGTCAGTTATTAAATGCAATGCGAATATATTGTTTGTCTATTCTTTTTTTCAATCATTTGTAAATATGATTAAAAGAGATTGCATTCTCTATGAGTCAATTCAACCAACCATCCAAACGTTTCAAAGTTGTTATTAAACTATTCATCTGCTACAAATAGTTTGTCAAATATAAGATTCCTTCATATTGTACTGTTTTCTTCGGCGGAATTCCAGACATCAATTAAACTGGTATTCATTAACCATGACAATCTTTTAATGTCGATTATACCTTTGCGTTAACTTTTAGTCAACGAAAATATTCATTATTTTACCTGTAGGTCAAACTACTCTAACAAATAACGTGTCACCTTTTAAACTCGGATTCTTTTCCGATAAAATACACTAAAGATAAACTTACACTGTGCATCATCTTTATCCACACCAACATCTTGATTGTCATCTAAAATATATCACATGCTCTAATTGTATAAATTATATAATACAATTTTTGTTTATCACCAATACGTTCATACTACTTTAAAAAGTTTAAATATATCTAACCATTGCTTATGTCATTTACAGTATGGACAAACTATCTTTTGCTTACATAATCACCAATACCAAATACCATTCCCTTATAAACTACCTTATTGAATATTTGTATATCGTTAGTTTGAAGTAAAGCCTGGTACAAAGTAACCACTTCATACTTATGAATTGAAAAAATCTGAGGATTATGATTACAGTTCTATCACTCTTTCTTTTTGAAGTAGCACAACTATTCAATTTATTGCGTCAGTTATTAAATGCAATGCGAATATATTGTTTGTCTATTTTTTTCTTCAATCATTTGTAAAAATATGATTAAAAGGGATTGCATTCTCTATGCGTCAATTAAACCAACCATCCAAACGTTTCAAAGTTGTTATTAAACTATTTCATGTGTATTGGATATTTAACATATAAGTGAACAGAAATGATTAGAGTATTATAATGACGTAACGTTCATCATTCACCTTTCTCTGTATAAAATTGAGAGTGGAAATGAGGAATGTGTCAAAGAGACAACAACCCAACCAAAGCAGAAAACAGCCGAACGCCACAAATGGGCCTTCAACACAGCGAGAAAAATCCCTCACCCAGAGGGGGGCTTCAGCTGGCCCCTCAACAAAAATGTGTACTAGTTCAGTGAAAATGGAAGCCACATTAAACTCCAAAACAAATAAGTGAACTAAAATTAAAAACAAAAACCATTCAAGATTTTCAAACGCCAGAGGCTCCTGACTTGGGACAGTCGCAAACATTCGGCGGGATTAAACATGTTTTGTGAGATCTCAACCCTCTAATGTTTCAGTTTTTGTAGACTTAAAACACACATACACACATAAATAAATACAAATAAAATACTACCGAACAGTTGTCCATCGATTGGTAATCTGACAAGTTCCTCGATACCATTTTCGATGGCCACTTTTCTAGATGTTGCCACTTTCACAACGTTGTTACATAAATGTAAACTATTACATAATCTATGTTTGTTTTCTAATGTTTCTACAACTGATTGTTCAACGATTTTTTTCTTAGTCCTGAATATTATGACGTCACCTATCGGTGGTTCATGCTGGTCAGATGCAATGTAAAATGTACGATAGTTCCTTTTCTTGTAATGGTTGAATACGATGTGTTCTTTGGAACTACTTATAGTGTCTATCTGAAAATTGCCTTCTAAGGAAATCTAAGAGGAAAAAATAGACAGTTAAAGATCATGAAATGAAATAAAACGGTCCGAAAAAATACCATATATATACACGTTTTTCATTATCATTTGATTAATTCATGTTTATGATAAATTTCTAAGAAATTTCGCTACATTTAAGTTTAAGTTTTTCTTAATTTTACATAACTTCTTTGTCTACTTTTTCAGGTATACGTGTTTGCATAGTGTGTACATAAACAAAATTATTTCTGAACACCTAACAAAAACACATTTTATTTTAATGTCTTGCATTTCATAATTTTCCTATTTTACATGTTACAAAAATCATGTTCACCCATGTATGAAAGATAAGTGAAGTCTTGATGTTCTACTTTTGTAAGTAAAGCGTGAAGATTGCATTTTTTCAGGCTAAAACCACTTATTGGTTTACTAATTTTACAGTTGTTTGTTAAAGCTATATTCCAAAGAATAGAGATGGTTGAGTACTAACAATCATTTTTAAAAACGTAACATTATGTATGGCCCGCAACATAGTAAAGAACCTTTATTCCAGTATGCATGGTACATATCTGTAAGTCATGATGGATTTACCTTTGCTTCTATAATCTTAATTTGAAGCAACAGTAGTTTACAGATGGTAAATTCGTATAAGCCATTAAGAAGATGTAATCAAGGTAAACACACAAAACATAGAGAAATGCATGCACTTTAATGGGAGCAATACTGGATGCAACGACAGGGTAAGAGTCTTAAAGTATGCATGCGTCTGTCGCAAATGCGAATAAACGCTCAGTAAAGATGTCGAATTCAGGAAAAGGACACAATCAATAAATGTACAGATCAGACGATTATTCTTGTATCGCAAAGCAGGCCCTTGTTTCGTTAATAGTATTGGTTTACATAATACTCGGGAAGGGAAGATAAATAAAAAGAATGTTATAGATTGAAAGGTATATGTTTCCCAACATACATCGTGTTATTAACTATCTATATACGATATCGTCAATTCATAGAGTATGTAAATGTAACTTAGAAGTACGTTACACTGAATCAGGCAGTTCCATAGCACCTCAAGAAGGTAATTCCAGTTTGTATTCTTGAAACAAAAAAAAATTGAAAACTTTGAAAAAAAGTTTCTTGAAACATCCGAATTGAACATAAAATTGAAAATGGAACGGGGAATGTAAGGACTATTATATAAAAAGATTGACATTAAAAGCATAACACTATTTTTTTGTGTGATCATCGAATAAAATTTCAATAATGTACTCAATAGAACAAACATACTTTTAGCTTTTCACCATCTTGAACTATACCGTCTCTGTATTCTATTGTCTGTAGTCGAAAGCCATTCTGTCTCCAATATTTCCTTCTCCTCTTCCCACAATGTTTCAATGCGATTTCGACTATCAAGGTCAATTTATTATCTGTCTCTTTCTTAAGACCTGCAAATATCTCTGTTGGTCTGTAATAATTAACAGCTAATGTTGCGGATTCTGCACTTTTCTTGAAATTTTTCTTTGATCCAACAGCAAAGCTATTTCCAATTTAAAATTATTCAATATTAAAAAGAAAAGTTATCATCGTTGGTACATTATCTATTGCATGAACAATTATGTTGTAAATTAAGATTACAGAATATATCCATTTATTAGTTAAGCCAAAAATACAGCAACGCAACAAAGATACTAACTGAACGATAACTGGATAAAAGGTTTGAATGCCGAATTAACGCGTCCAACGTAGCTACTTACCTGAAAACAACCTTTAATAGCTGACAATGCGGTACGGGACTTCTTCATTGTTGACCTATAGTTGTTAATTTCGGTGCCATTTGGTCTCTTGTGAAGAGTTGTCTTGTTGACAATCATACCACATCTTCTTTTTTATACTAACAATGATATGCCAAAAAGAAAAAACGTAAAACGTCGGATAGACACAAGACTGTCACTTAAAAAAAAACATCGCATCTTTAAAAAAAAAACCAAAAAAACACACACACACACAAAGAACAACACTGACAACTAATCGAAAGTACAACGACCCCTTTTAGAATAAAATTTAGGGTGAATTCAGTTGCTCAAGAGGGTATGCGGATGCTGATCCACATGCCGACCAGTCTTGTTGCACATGTAAATACACAACGGTGATAAAATGATTAGGTAGGTCACACCATCAAAAAGATGATGGGATTTTGGTTACGACAAAAAGAACATATCCGTCTTCATCCGTGAAACAGATATTCCATAACGGTTAACCAACTCGTGATGGCTCCATAAAATTTCGAAAGGATAGTTTCAATTTCCCCACTTGGAACTCTTGGTTCAATACATTCCTTGTAAGCAGCAAACCTATATAGAGGAAATAGTACAGGATTTGCAAGTCCTGAAATGCCGTATAAACTGGACGATATATATTAATTTCATAATGTGGAGGCTGAAATCACCTCTTTTGTCGTAAAATGATGTTCGCAACACACCCTCTTTGCCAACTTCTAGATGTAAATCATAATATATGGCAGACTAAAATGTATCCTATATTTCAAGTTCGATGGGATAGATGCCTTCAACATAATCACAATACTCTGAATTATCTAGTGAGATGGCAAAATTTATATAGTGGAACGTAAAGTTTAAGGATAATGCAAGCTTCTTTCATTCTTCGAATATCATGTCTAAGTGCAGCCTCATATGAATAAAAACAAGTCACCAAGAAGAGGAGATCAGTTAATTCAAATGGGTATGCAGATAGCTTTCCGAAAAACACGTCCTCCACAAGTAACACATATGTTGCCAAACAAAAAAACAAGTATCGTCATAATGTTAACTTTAGATAATTAATTACAAAGTACAATTTATCTATCCCTAAGACAACATCTACGTTGACTATTCTTTAAAATAGTCTTCAGGTGTATGATATTTTGATTTAAATGATGTTTCAGACATGTTTATATTATCTTGTTTTTTTACATGCACAAACGTGCAATTCATCCAAATATTAAAAAACAAAAAACATAAAACCTACTGTGTAAAATGTTCTGCAGAGAAAGAAACTATATTCCCTTCAATTTTTATATTTGTTGAACATATTTCCCAATCTTTCTCTGCTTCTGGAATATCTGTATGTGAGGCTATTATTATGAAATCATCGGCTGACACAACTAATGAATGCAGAGGAAGTTTCATATTTACAGGTTTGCTTGGCTGAACATTATTCTGCATTGTTAAATCTAGGGCATTGGTGAATAAGACCGTTTCCTCACCATTCCAGTCATTCGTATCAGCTACCTTAAAAGAAAATTGAAGCATTGTCAGCTTTTAATAAATAGGATATCTTCGAAAAACTTATAACAAATTTAATAAATTTGATCTGCTGAAAAACACCCCAAAAAATGCACATTCAAACATCATGTTCCTGCAATAACAGTTTTAGCTATTTTCGAAGTTGAACAACCTAACAGTACTTTTACATGTTATAGAAACAAATAAAAAAGAAACAATTTGTAATATGAAAGTATAAAAAATTAAACAAAAATTTGTTAACAATTTAGAATAATGCCAATAATCAAATACTATAATAGAAATATGTTTTGTTTTCTATTTTCATAGATATCCTACATTAAGCATTAATTTTCCCGGTGATTTAAATGCTCCCTCAGGTATGTCTATTTCTGCATTACTTTCTGATTGCGGAACAATTTTGAGTGCGTCTTGTGTAACTGCAAACTCTTCATGTCGACGCTGTGATAATACAACGAATTTGGCCGTCTTCATTCTTGTTAGGTCAATTTTTATATCAAATTTCGTATACTGAAAAATAGAATTGATTTGCATATAAAGCCATGATTTAATGAAGATTTAATTAAAATAAATAAATACATCTGTGGGATGTAAATCGATTGCATTTTAACCAAACGATTTATGATACATTGATTTGAGACCTACATCAGGTCTTTAATATAGTAAAAAATGTTTTAGTCCATTTGTCAATATTATAATACACTTGATTGCTGACAAATTGTAAAACAATAATACCGATACTATATCTTTATGCTTCTTGCAACTTGCTCAGTTAACGAGAAAAGGAGAAAAGAATACTACATAAACAGAAAAGTCAGAACGAAAAGGAGACAATACGAAAACCCAAAATAAGTGATCAGTAACGGCAGCTTTCAATGACCTAAAAGAGTAAGATTGCTCAGACAAAACAAAGCTTTAAAGGACATTCCCTAATGCGTTTGTCCGACAATTGACGAAAACATATATAAACATTAAGTTTCTAGTATAATACAAAGAAATCATGAGCTATACATGCTATATAAGATCTTAAATGTCATTTCATGTATGTCTTTCACAATCAAGCTCATTCTCTTAAGGTTATGTCTGCTCAAACATGTACAAATTAAGATGTTCGATAACTTTGTCATGGTATTATATGAAATAAGGATATATCAATGATGGTTGTAATATATTGATTTTGCATTGATTAATAAGGTACAGTGCCAAATTAAGTTTTATACGTCTCATAAGTCAATTTAAATTGTCATTAATTTTATCCAGAAAACATGAACATTGTTGCATCGTTTCGAACAATGTGCAGCACTAACTTAACCTTGAACCCGCACAAATTATTATAACACAAGATGTCTATACATCGTTGGCGATTTTAATTTAGAAGGGGCACGTGAGAGCACATTTAAAATAGCGAAAAACCATGAAAAAACATCCTATCGAACCTTGTTTAAAATGCTACACGTCTCAAATAACTTTTATTTTGATAGAAGTACACAAATATAATCCTAATGACCAAAGAAAGGGTAAACACATAAGATTTGCATTGTACAACTGGTCATCAAACAAACTAACCTCTTCTTCGTAATCTCCCTCTGTAAATGCCTGGCCTGTAATATTGCCTTCTACAGAACCTTCTAAGGGCATAACTACCACTAGCTGATTTTCTTGAACAAATCCTAGCACAGAAATATGTAAATCTAGATATCTTGGAGTATCACCCCATGTTTTGATTTCATAAACATCGCTGAAAATTTGGTCTTCGAAACCCAGATGCATAGCGAAATCATTGTATTCTGGAATAACTTTCGAACAATATAAGAAAAAGCCATTACTTATATTGTCCGTATTCAGTATGATGTCAGTACATATTGAAATATCTTCAGCAGGATTCACGTAGCAGACTTCAAAAGCATTGTTGCTACAAGAAAAAAAAAATAATTGCAAAACGACACCTATATAAACATATTTTTCATATTATTGAAGTGTTACCATATTGCTATAATATTATAAATCGTGAAATGTTTATACTGAACAGATCGCATGATGTGCAGAGCAAAGCAAAGGTACAGTTATAGTAAAGAAATAAAACCTCAGCAAAACTCAAGAAAATGCACATACAATGTTGATATAATTGTATGTTTATTTGGTAAAAATATAGACACAAAAAAAAGAAGTATTCGTTATATCAGTTGGCAGGCTTATCACAATTAACTTACAGAACACTAGACCCGCTTAATGTTTCATGTATTTTTTTTAAAAACAATTAAAATTGATAATCCATATTCGAAATTAAGATAATACAGTCTGTCTGTATACAGAAGTTAAGTTTGTTTTATTCTTTAAAATCGTATTGGTGTTGTTTATATAAAAGTTTAGACTTGATGATTTGAATTTTCAATTAAAAAAAAATATATATAAGTACTATAGGCAGTATTGCTTCTTCCTTAGAAACTTTAATAATCCTTCAAAAGTTGCTTATTTAAAATACCCGTAATTATTCTCTGCTTCTCGTTCTAGTTGATTTATCAATGTTCTCATAATTTTCTGGTCTGCTTTGTTAAGAATATCGACATCAACACCTACGAGTGCCCAATCATCAATTGTAACTGATGATCCAAAACTGCAAAGTAACTCAATAACCGCAGCGTCTTTCTTGGCAACCGCTATATCCAAAGGACTTTGTCCTTTCTGAAAAAATATAGCTAAACTTGAGGAAACATAAATAATTTCGGCTGCAGTGTACACAATCAGTTTGTAACTGAAACAGTGCATATATATGACATAAATAAATGCCTAACGAAACTGATCTAATTATACAATGATTTGATACCAAATGATATCTCGCAAATCCTGTAACCATTTCAATCTTTGGTTCGCATTAGCAAGAACGTATATACATTTAAAAGGACAAACAAATGACATTAAAAAAAAAACAACAAAAGAACAGTTCAACACGGATTCATTAATATCAAAACGGTAATGTACTATACAGATAACTTTTAACAAATTCGACTCGCTTATATTTCGACATCAAATTAATAATAAATAACCTTTATCTGTGTATTAATGTCATAGGCAGGTCCAGTCTTGCTTTAAGTATGTTATGGAACATTAGGCAGCCCGTTCATACTTTGTTATGTCAAATCAAGATATTATAATGTGGATGTATGAAAAGCAAATAAAAGTATAACGAAGCAATCATGGAATATTTCATAAATATTAAGATACATATTTTTTTAACCGTTACCAGAATAAAACAATTGCCTTTTCGTACTTTCAATGCTTTTCACAGTTTGTAAGCAAACGTCTAATTATAACGATAAATAGAATATAATGTAGATTAACCCTTCAAAATAACACATTAGTTAAGACGCTTTGCTTGTGTAAAAGCTTATGGTCGGCCTGGCTGTTGAGGCAGTTTTGTTTGTCAATATACTCTCTAGAAGATGAAAAATTTATAAACTATGCAATCAATCTTAATTACTACCCGATACAATTCAATGCAATACTTGTTATTAACCATTTAAATTTTCAGTATGTTATTGGTAGAATTTTCTCTTCGGTTGCTTGCATTTATCAAAATTGCACTATTATTCGAGATCACAAAATGCAGTTTTGAAGGAAAAGTAAGGAAATCATTTATTGAATAGAAAACATGAAAAACTCAATCACTATTCAAAACAATTACAATGTCACAATGAGTTTTTTTTTCTTTTCATCTTCATAATTTACCGTTTAATAAAAAGGAAAATCTAAATTACTTTAAAAAACAGCCTTATTTCATATGTTAAAATAGACATATTATCATTTAAATGTTGTGTAATAATGTGTTAAGTTTAGAGAACACCAACAAATCAATTGGAACCATAACTTCAAAATAATTATGGATTCCATTGAGGACTACGCCAGAGCATGGACTAAACGAGAACAAGTTGAACTGGACACTTTGTCAGAATGGGTAAAAAAATCAGGTCTCTGATAAAACGTCGCATTCATAAGTTGTAAAACTGTGTGAATGATCGATCAAAATCCGTTTTCAGAGGCAAAGAGACTGTGAAATGTCTATCATCTCTTCACGATAAGTATGTTGTTGTTCCTGCGGACAAAGCTTCAAATAATATTGTCTTTGTAAATAAAGAATTAGGAATAATGGAGCACTCAGGTAATCACACATACAAAAACATGTCATTTGACAAGGATGAGATTTTAGCGAATCATAAGTCCTTCATGGCTTTAATGAACATTACATTGAACAGCAAATCGGAGGACTTACCTTGTTTGTATTAGATACCCAAGCTTCATAAAATTCCGTACAAACAACGGTACATTGCCGGCTAATATGCATGTTCGACTAAATAATTATTCATAAGATTGACAAAAATTCTGTTCGCAGTGAAAGAGGGTCTTCAGAAATACTGTGAAACTGTTTACTCGCGTAGTGGTATTAACCATATGTGGATTCTTAAAAACATATATTTAAAATAATTTTAAATCTCGACCTTTATCTGAAATAAGTTCTATCAAAACTTTTGATTTTTAAACCCTGTATATCACCATTCCCCATGTGAAATTGAAAAATCATCTAAAGTATCCACAATGCTTTTCAACATAAAAATGGTAGCATATGCTATACATTTATTACTTTGGGATACCATACGGCGTATTTTGTAAATAGTAAACAAAAAGGTAAAACATGCTACAAAGAAGAACAAGTGATCAGGATGCTGGAGTTTCTTTTTGACAACATATTTTTTGAATTTGGACTTTTTCAACAAATTGTCGGCATTCCTATGGGAACAAACTGTGCGCCTCTCCTTGCCCACATCTACTTATTTTCATATGAGTCGGAGTTCGTTCAGACACTTGTCAAAAACAAGAAGATCAAATAAGCCAGATCATTTAATTTCACATTCAGATGTATTGATGATGTTCTTTCCATTAACAATCCAAACTTTTTTGATTGGATTCCATTAATATATCCCCCAGAACTAGAAATTGAAGAAACAACAGACACGGCTACCTCCGCATCATTTTAAGACTTATACCTCGAATTTGACATACACGGTCATCTCTGTACCAGAATCTATGACGAACGTGACGGTTTTAATTTTGAAATTATCAATTTCCCCAACCTTAGTACCAACTTCACCTGCATATGAGATATATATTTCCCTACTTATTCGGTATTCAAGATATTGCAGCTGCTACTCAGACTTTGTAAAACGTCACCAGTGTCTGAGTAGAAAGTTGATGAACCAGGGGTATGTCAAAGAACGTCTCGTCCTTTTTCTAAAAAAGGTTCATCGGAAGGTACCAAGACTTTGTTGATAAATATTCCGTATCAACTTCGCATATAAAACACGATGGTCTAGAAGTATAGATTCTAGGTACTGACGTTGTTTATTATCTTAATAACGTGTTATAGTATTCTTTTATTTGTCTTTATGAATATCCATTTGACGTGGCTCTGTACTTATACATCCTGTTATTTTGTTATGGTAAACCAATTTTGTATTCTTGTCTTTCATTTTTGCTAATATGCTTTGGCTATATGCATTTTTGTGTTTCTTTGTTACATATGACGTGGTCCTGTACTTATACATCCCGTCATTGTGTTATTGTGCTATGGTATTTTTTTGGTATTCTTGTCTTTCATATTTGCTAATGTGCGTGTCTATATTCCTTTTAGCGTTTCTTTATTACGTATTTGTTTGTTTTTATAGTGACTAAGATTATAACACAATGTTGACTGCTGTACCCCTATTTTTGACATTTTTTACCTATTACGTCTGTTTGTTTTGTTCACACATCGTTGTCAATAGAAAAGAATTTTATGCGACTCTCATACAAGTGAAATGTTTAGCTAGCTATAAAACCAGGTTTAGTCCACCATTTTCTACATAAGAAAATGCCTGTACCTAGTCAGAAATATGACAGTTGTTATCCATTCGTTTGATGTGTTTGAGCTTTTGATTTTGCCAATTGATTACGGACTTTCCGTTTTGGATTTTCCTAGGAGTTTGGTATTTTTGTTATTTCACTTTTTACCAATCTATCTTAAAGGTTAATATTAACAAATTGAGTAATGTTTAAACATTAAACGAGCTGCTGAAAGGCTGCTTTAGAACATCAGATTCTGACATGTGTCATGTGATGATTACATAATGGCATGATAAAATATTGTTAATATTAATACACATTGTCATGTTTCTTTTACACTATGTTTATGTTTGCCAAATTTTTTACGTGCAACCTAGATAAAACTCTTCGGTTGTGGTAACTATATCTTTCGTTATATCTTATTGTAGTCCGTTATAATTTGAAGTGTAAAACTATCATAGAGACACACGATTAAGTTGTACTTACGTTGTTTTTAACATTTATTGTTGATCTAAAGGCTACAAGTGCCACCATTGATTCAACGTTTGAATTTTTCACAGCCTTAAATAACGCAGTTTCACCATCCTATACAAATTAAAATAAATAAACGCAATACAAAAAACAAAAGGAAAGATAGTTTATTTTTGTTTATTCGACACCTATTTCAATGTCCTTTTATCTGAAATAAGGAATATGATAATTTCTTCATTTTGTAAGAATAATGTCTCTTCGGGGGTTCTTTGGCAAGTTAGTTTATACTCAATCCAAAAACACCAACTATGGTTTCTTCATATTTTTATGTGAAATTTGGAAGAAATGTGATACCTCCGGTTTACAAAAATATTCTTCATTCTTTTGTCATGGGATGGCTCTGTCTATGCGCTTTCCGAAAATGTTTGGTTGCTAGGCATTTTTTGTATAGAATTTTCCTCGAAGTTCGGTATTTTTGTTATTTTACTTAGTAAG